GCTGCAAATGACATGAGTTTATCTTTTCTATTGCTGAGTAATATTCCATTTCCCACTGTGTGTGTGTGTGTGTGTGTATACAATATCAGATAGTCTTAACTCTTAATAAATTACTGAAATGAGTTTGTATATACCTGAACATCCAAAAGGCAATTCCCATGGTTTTACTAGTAATATCCATGTTACCACTTCATATACGGTTGATACTCAAATGTGTTGAACTAAATCATTCTAGGCCCAGATCATAGAAAAATGAAAAGAGATTACCTTCCTTGGTGGTCACAGAATATATAAGCTTAATCTAAGTGCACACAGCAGAGAAATGTTGATTAGGTTCTAAAAATGGAGCAAATTATAAACTTTGTGTATTTCACAAGTAATGTACAACAATGCTTAAATTTATAATATTGACAAATATGGGTCTAGGAGAAAACATACTAAGAAAAAATTAAGTAGATTTAATCACTCTGTCTTTGAGTCTAAATTTTGAAAAATTAAAATTTACCACATCTCTGAAGAAACCTAAACAAAACACTGATAAATGCTGCTATATATTGAGCATGCAGTATATGCCAGGAACTGGATTAAGCCACTTATCTCTATTCGCCCATTTAATCCTTAAATTTGTTTTGTGAAGTAGGTATCATTTTCCCCTTGCACCAGATAAGTAAACACTGTTAAGAAGTGAAATAAACTCCATGTTTAAATCAAAAGCTATAAGTACACATACTTCTAATCAAGTTGAACTTTATTAGTGTTTATATAACTTGCTGATTGCTGCTTTTGACACTTTGCTTTAATTAAATTAATATAAATTGTCTAAAAACTAGTAATGGAATGTTTAATTTTATTTGAATTTGATGAGACTACTAAAATATACTGGGTAGGATGAGCGAAAGTACTGTATTAAACATAGATCCTGTTCTTTCCCTTTTTATTCAATATAGTTCTGAATTGTCCAAAAGAAAACTTTGAGTTAATTAATCCAAGAGACAAATTCCGATGAAATTATTTAAGTACCCTTAAGACAGTATTCTACTCTCACCAACAGGTAAAGTGATAAAAGGAATGTTTCACCTTTACATGTAATAGATGGATGACAGAAAGGGATTATTTACTTGTCCCATGTTTAAAATAGTTGTGATCATAAAGAAAACCAAGTGAACTGTTTCAGAGCAGAATTTCATTCAGGATTGTTTTCATATCAGAAGAATATGGTTAAATACAGAAATATATGAGAGAACAATCCTTGAATACTGAACTCCTGTCACAAAATGAATAGTGCATTATAAAGAACTAGAAAGGGGCCTCCCCGGTGGCGCAGCAGTTGAGCTCTGGGCTGCAAAGCTGCCTGCAGCCTCTGCAGCGCCGGTTCAATCCCCGGCCGCTGGAGAGGGTCCCACGTGGCACACAGACCTCTCCTGCTATGCCCACTGCTCCCCTCAGCAGTGTATTTCATCAGTCTGCCTGTTCTGTTCCCCGCTCTGGTGAATTCTGTCACCCTCCTGCACTTCTGATTCTACCCAGTGCTTGTATAAATAAGTAAATAAATCTTAAAAAAAAAAAAGAACTTGAAAGAGGTTTAATAAAAGAAATAAATTTGTAGGACTGGATTATTGAAAGACAATATTTACAGAGGTGAAGTTAAACTATATCAGGCACTCAAATCCTATTAAAAAGTAAGCCAGAATCTCACTCTAATTGAAACATTTGTTATGAATTGAGAAGTTAAAATACCACATGGTGTCTTACACAGAATGAGTACACAATATATAGAAACACAGTACTGAATTGTAAGTCAAATTTTTCAAGCTCACTTAAGATTTTGACTTTTTAGTATATTTTCCTAATTAATGTTTGGTTTACATTGCTTACTACTAAATTAGTAGCGATTTTTCTAATGAAAAAATACTACTAATACACATTTCTTTGCTCTCTTACTATTGTAGCTGGGAAATTAACCATTATCTTAAGTTTCAAAAGTAAATTAACAAGACAAATTTAGTGGTTTTATTCTCTTCCCAGCTTGATTAAAACTATTTTTATCAAGTTAAATAAACTAAGATAATATATAATAACTGAAGAAAATTCAAAAAAATTCTAAAAAAAGATAAAATATGTAATACTCAAAGGCAAACCCCATCAATATAATGGGTTTATCTTCATTTGTTTGTACATACAAATACATATTTCTTTAAAATTAAATAATTCTAAACATGCTATCACATAAGCTTTTTTAAAATTAACAACATCAGGAAAATCTTTCTAAGATAATGAATATAGAAGATAGACATTATACTTTTTAGTGCATGTACCATGTTTTCTTTTACTGATATACTATGATTTATTTAGTTATACCACAGTAATAGTTATTTTGATTGCTTCCAGTTTTTCCACTATCATAAATAATATCTTCAAGGAACATCTTCATTTGCATTTCTCCCAAAATGTATTTAGTTTTCTCCTGAAAATGTCAAGGAATAGGATGACTAGGCTAAACAGTGTATACATACAAAGTATTTTTTAAAATAAGCTGTCATTTCACTCAAGAAATTGTTATGACTTTTAACTATTTTCTAACACTCAGAGAATGTCTATTATAATTTGTAAAAAAAAAAAAAAACCCATCCCCGGAATCTTTTCATATCTCATTTCCTCTGTTAATGAACATTCTTTTCCCCCTCAATATAATTAAACATAAACAGAAGGAAGGGTTTCATTAACCCATTAAAAATCATCAATTCTAGATGATTTTTCCATGTATGGATTTTCTTCATTCAAATATTCCATATTATATTCAGATAAGCCACACTAAAACTGAAGGAAAAAAAAACCTACAAAATTTTAAACCAACCATGTGACATCCTCAAAACTATTGCCATTTTCCCCCTAATTTGGCCTCAATGGAGAATGCCCTCAAATGTGGTATATAAGAAGCTTAATTCTCCACGTTTTTAAAGTTATGAAAAAGAGGGGCTAAATACTAAATGTAGATATATGATAATATATTAAAAGGTGATACCAAATCTCAAATTGAATTCACACAGAGAATTACTGTCATATATACTTGCAAATACACACATACACACTTTTGTGGTAAGTCAGAGTATGACACTTCTGTTATTCCTCCTTTTTGTCAGGATTACTTTGGCTATTTGTGTGTGTTTGGTCTTTTTGTCATTCTATACAAATATCAGTAATGTTTGTTTAATTTATATGAAGAATATCATTGAAACTTTGATAGGAACTTTATTGGATCTGTGTATTGCTTGGGGGGAAATGACCATTTTGACAGTGTTAATTTTTCCAGTCCATGATCAAGGAATGTATTTCTATTTATTTTTGTCTTCTATCATATGCACACTGTATTTTTTTTTTATTTATGCAATAGCTGGGGTACAGGCCAGAGGTGCAGGAGGATGAAAGGATTCACCAGAGACAGAGAGAATTATATCTAAAGTTGGAGTTATTTGTAAAAAGCTTGCTCTGTAGGGTAATAATATATGAGGTCATCAAAATATTTTTGTAGGATATTTTATTTTTAATGAGCTAACATTGGTTTACAACACTGTATGCAATTTAGAATAGGTTCACACCTCCTCATATGTATTTTACCATATCACCAAAACACTCAAAGTCCTTTACCACAGACCATTGGTAAAGGTTTTTGTTTCTACCCTCATAGTCTCAATTCTGTAGTCAGATTTCTAGGGTGGGTTTTTGTTTTTGGTTTAGTTTTGTCAGTTCCTTTGTTTTATTGCTATATGTTCCACATATTAGTGAAACCATATGGTATTTATCTTTCTCCTCACTTATTTCATTTAGCATAACCCCACTAATTCTATGTTGTCACAAATGGCAAGACTTCATCTTTTTTTTTTATATAGGTGAGTAGTATTCCAGTGTGTATGTATAACACATGTTCTTTTTTTTTCATACATGTTCTTAATCTACTCTTCTGTCATTGGGCACTTTGGTTGTTTCCATAACTTGGCTATTTTAAATAGCGCTTCAATGAACGTAGGAATGCATGTATCCCTGTGAATTAGTGTTTTTACATTTTTTTGGTAGTCACCTAGGAATGGAATTGCTCAGTCATATGGAGGTGTATTTTTAATATTTTGAGGAACTTTATACATCTAGTGGTAACAATGAGCAAGCCAAAGTCAAGGAAATGACTTGATATTTCCATTTATATCTGTTAAAAATATTCCTTTTAAATTATAGAACATCATTGATCTTTTGACAGTTATTTATAATGATAAAAATGTTTTTTAAACTTTTATTTTCTTCCAAAGTTAAAGAAAATTTAATTTACATAAGGGGAAAAACTTACCATTGAAATATAAGACACCTAGGGACCTCCCTGGTGGCATACGGGTTAAGTCTCAGCACTATCACTGTGTTCCATCCCTGGCCAGGGAGCTAATGCACATGGTGCAGCAGAACTTTCCTGCCTCACCTGCTGCTCCCCTTAGCAGTATATTTCAGTGGATCTGCCTGTTCTGCTCGCCAGTCTTTCTCTGGTGAATCCTCTTACACTCCTCCCATCACCCCCATACCTCTGGCCTATACCCCAGATCTTCTGTGCAATACATAAATAAAAAATTAAACAAAAGAAATATAAGACACCTAGTTAAACTCTATGTCCAATACATTTTTTTAATATTTTGATGGATCCTCAGCATATTTTACTTATTGTATTGTTAAAACTTTCATGCAGACAAATTGAGCCTGCTTTGGGTGACATTATAAAAATTTACTTTTAACTTATTTAATAATGATATATTATGTGCACAAAGGACTGCTTTGTTTTAAGCTGCCACATGGTAAGTTGCAAAGATTCACAAGGACACAATAGGTTCCAAGCAATGTGTGTCAAAATAAAGAATGGTCCTTTAAAGCTTTCTTATACTTTATCATTTTGCTGCTAATCAGTAGTTAGAAATATAACCTATTCTTGAAATTGTATTCTTTGGATTCCTTTTGTCCTTAGAGGCCATTGTGGTCCAGTGAAATGTGTGTGACCTTTGAGGCAAAGGCACTGGGGTTTGGATCGCCACCATGCCATTTCTAAGATGACCTTTGGAACATCACTTTATGTAGAATTATCTGAATTTCAGCTTTCTGGTAAGAAGTGCCAATAATTTCTACCTTAAGTAGTTATTTTGTAGATTTGAAGTGTTATATATAATGCAGCCATAAGCAATGTTTTGCATACTAGGTACTCAAATAACATCAAGTAAATGAAAATATTTTATCTTTTGAAGCAAAAAACAAAACAAATGATTCAACATGAAAATCTTACTAATACATACAGTAATATCTTGTGTCTCTCTTTTCTATATCTAATATGTTCTCTCTTAGTATATGTGCTGCCGAAGCGAGCACTATGTTCTCTCTTAGTAAAGAACAAATTTTCACGCTTTTTTAAAAATGAACCACTAAAGTGGACTACTCCTAGTCACTGTCATAAGAAAACCAAGGTGATTTAATTATCTCTTCTTTTAAATAGACCTTTTTTAGGTTACTATAGAGTTTTCTTCATCATGTAGTAAAAATGCCAGAGTAGCCAGTTCCTAAAAACCTGCTACTATCTTCACTGTAGTTTGAAATCCCACCATTAAAAAGTCTGTGTGTAAAGGTTTGTATGTGTGTGTCTTCTAATCAGAAAGGTCAATATTAAATACAAATTTTAAAAAATCAGGTCACCAATTACCCTTCATTCAATCATTCCCCCTTTACAACAGCTGATTTATAACCTTTAATCTTTTATATCCTCAGTATTCCTCAAATAGTTAAGAGGGAACACCAAGCCCCACATAACAAAAACAGTCACCCTAAATAGAATGTGTTTACTTTCGCATTATACTCCTACTTACAGAAAAAGAATTGTTTCAGAAATGAGTACAACAATCTATCATAAATATTTTTAAATACACTCAGGCGTCATTAACCAATATCCCCACCAAACTGTTAACCAAACCTCCTTAAATACACTCAAACATCATTAGCCAATATCCCAACCAAACTGTTAACCAAACCTTGATATAATACATATCACATACATAAATATATACATACATATCAATGTATGCATAATCATTTACAGAAAGTTCTGAGAGCAAGTTAAGTGATGACCATATTCTTAAAATGTGTAAAAGCAATGGGTTCTTGAGTCGGCCCCATTCTGCCAGGTATGGAGAATGACTTTAACAGCAGAAATTCCTGAACTAGTAGCAACACATATCTGATCACCCAGTGTGTTGTGTAAGAATCTGAAATGTTTATTGAATAAGATATGGTTACTGAGTGAAGTTGACTCTGAGAACACAATCTGAATCCAAAATGGAGAGGTAAGTAGACATCACATCAGTTTGATGTTGAAAGAAAAGGATTCATTCAGCTCTTCAAGTACTGAAGGTTCTCTGTGTTGTCAAGTTCCAGGCTCATTCCTCAGGAAATTTCTGCCTGTCAGTCCAATTTACAGTTCATAAACAACTGATTCTAGACCCCAAACTAACTGGTAACATCTTGCTTCTTTATATGCTCTCCACTCTTCCTCTCCCAGAGCTCTGAGGGTCTAAGACAAGGACTTCTTCAAACCAACTACTGAGCTAAAAAGAACAAGTAAAAGAGTTGATATTCTGGAGCTAGATGACGTCCCAGCCAGTTGTTCATTTCTGGCTTTAATAAGTGTCCAAGTTACCTCAAGGTATAGAAAGTAATGATCTTGGTGTTTATTAGTTTAAGTGGACAAACATTTGATAGAATTTGAATTTATAAATGTGTTGTACCTAACACATGCAAGTTGCATTAGGGTGAGATTACATCTTAGGGAGAATTATATAGCAGAAATAACACTTGATCTGCACTAATGAGATTCTGGTCTTAACTGTTTACTGATATTTGAGAAACGCACTTGGCAGTCACTTGGTCTATTCAGCATTACCTTTATTTACAGAATGAAAGGCCTGAACAGATATCTTAGTTCAGATTATTGAACTGATGTCCCAAAGGTTTGAGGGATACCACACTAACATATCTAATTTCAATCAAAGATGCTCTCATTTTATCTTTTTTTCCCCCACAGAAGAATATAGAATTGGTCAGACCAGTCAGAATGCAACTCTGATTGCAGTCACTTATTAACCTGGGCAAGTTACTTCAGATCATCAAGCTTCAGTGCCCTTGCCTGTATAGAAATGAAGATTATGATGCTTACCTCATAAGCTATCTTATTTAATCCATATAACAACTCTATATAAACTACTTGAAATACTGACTTACATATAATATGAGCTCAGATTTCGTACATCATGCTGTTATCATCATCACCAAACAGAAATTCCATAGTAGACAAGGTTAAAAAGTAACTTCTTCATAGATTGAGACCACAATATTATGTTAAACACATGGAAAGCATCAAAGGAATATTCAAGTATCTTCATAATGACATACTGTAATGTATGCCAAAAATTATTTATAAAATTGATAAAAAGAAAATATCAAATAATCAGATTAGAGAAATTACTTTCTACTTAAGATTTATACTTGAGCAAAGAAATAATTTTGTAATTATTAACTCATTATTGTATTAAAATATAGTCTTAACAGTAAAGATAATGACAACTTATAATCAATGTTTTCTTTAAATTCTTATATGTGCTATTTCCTTTAGAAATTAAGGACCAAGGAGAAGTCATTTTATTATATCATAAATTATGAAGTAACTAATTTTAAGTAGTATATATATGTTAAAAACAAACATTTGAACAGAGGCTACTGTAATTTTATTGGAAACAATGAAAGCAATAGTCTTTTTTTTATACCTGTAAATGCTTTTTTAATTTTCGGTTATTATTGGTTTGTAATATAGTGTATGTTTTAGGAGGATAGTTCACACTGCTTCTTCAAATGTATGTTGCTACACAAAATCCATCACCAAATAATCCTCCACCACAATTCACTGGACTTCCTCTGCCCTTTGCTTCTAATTCTTTCCCTCTCTGGTAACCTCATTTATGGTATCAGAATACAAGTTTGTTTTGGTTTTGTCTTTCCATTTGCTCTGCCTCCTTGTGGCCCATATATGAGTGAAATCATCCAGTATTTTTCTTCTTTCCATGTTTCAAATAGAAAGATTTCATCATTTTTATATGAGAAGTATTATATTGTGTGGGTATTTATATAGATAGATTGATAGATCACACACAAACATACATATATACACACACACGCACACACACACAGATACATCACATCTTCTTCATCCAATTATACATTGATGGGCATCTAGGTTGTTTAAATATTTTGACTTGTAAATAAAGCTGCTATGAACACAGGGGTGCTTATCTTTTTTTAAACTAGTGTTTTTATATTATTCAGCTAGATATCTAGAAAATAATTGCTATGGATCATATGCTAGATCTATTTTTTTAAAGATTATTTATGCACACAAGAACGGGGGTATGGGCCAGAGGTGCGGGCAGTAAGCGGATTCACCAGAGACAGAGTGGGGAGCAGAACAGGCAGATTGACTGAAACACACTGCTGAGGGGAGCAGCGGGTGAGTCAGGAGAGGTCAGCTGCACCATGTGGGTAGCTCCCTGGCTGGGGATTGAACTCGTGCTGCAGTGGCTGTGGCCAGCCTCATAAGTTGTGTCCTGACCCCTTGCGCCACCAGGGAGTCCCATATCTTTAAAAATTTTTTGAGAACCCGTCATACTGTTTTACATAGAAGCTGCCCCAATTGACTTTCACACCAACATACATGAATATTTCTTTTTCCCCATGCTCTTCTAAACACTTGTTTCTTACCTTTTGGACAATAGCTATTTTCACAGGTTTAAGGTAGTAGTTCATTGTGGTTTTGATTTGCATTTTCCTCATAATGAATAATGATGAGCATTTTTTTCATGTACCTGTTGGCCATCTATAAGTCTTCTTGGAGAAGTATCTATTTAGATCTTCTCATTTTTTGATGGGCTTATTTATTTATTTGTTTTGATATTTTTTGTTATTATCTTGGATATTAATTGCTTGCTGAATATATGATGAGTAAATATCCCCATTCATTCGGTAGGATGCCTTTTTGTTTTAATAATAGTTTCCTTTACTCTGCAGAAGCTTTTTGTTTTTATGTAGCCCCACTGCTTATTTTTGGAAAGTAGTAGTCTTACTTGATTTTAAATATCAGCTTACCTAAAATTACTTTTTCCTCTACATTTATACAATAATATATTTTCCTGTATAATGATAATTTTAGATCCTTTCTACAGAAAGAAAGGATGCTCGATGGTGGGCTGTAATCTCTAAGAACAGCTGTATTCTTTCACTGTTTGCTGTACTGCCACCATGATGCCCAGTGAAGCAAACCTGTGCTCATCACCACCCTTCACAGCTGTGCCATGAACTTCCTCCAGAACTGTGAAAGACACCAACTACCTACCATACTTGCCAGTCCTAAAGAATCACAAGTGCCCAGGGTCTTTGCTTTTTATTCTCAACCATAGCACTTTTATCTCCCAAGAGATAATTTAAAGGATTCTGGTATTTTTACAATCCCAGTTCAACAACAAGCAACAAGAACTCTATTACAATCAGTGAAGGTGAGGTAGAACATAAAAAAGATTTTAAACACTTCAATTGGAATTATTGTTCCTCGGACAGTCCAATTCTTATTAAAGGTAACAGCATCACTGAGCCAAAGTCAGTCCACTTAAGGGCCAATTATGTCTCTTTCCTACTGTGATCATCTGTACACCTGATGGCACAGTCCATCTCTTTTACGTGATTCACAAGGAGGACCAGGCAGGAGTTTCACCAGATCAGTGTAAATGGCCAGCACAGCACAAAGGCATTCCTTCTGATTAAGGATTTATGTGCCAGGAAATCACATTTGCCCCAAAATACATTTGAGGAAACCTTAACTTTTCATATCCATTTATTTGGGGCTGAAAGTTATTTTTAAAACTATAAGAGCTCGAGGTGGTCAAGCTATTAAGAATGAAGGGCAGATAGGAATTTTCCAAAGAGAGAAAATAAAAGCATTCCAGATTGAGAATCTATTGTAGTATATAAAAAGTCCTGGTGTTGTGAAATAGCAAACCATTCTAAGGGAAAATAAA